CATTACAAATGACTATGCTACTTATATCCATAGTAAGTTTATTCTCGAGACTTTCAATAAATCTTAAATGAGAGTTCTAGTCACCCCGAGCCGCATAAGATGATGTAGGTCTGACAGTTGAATTCAGTGGCGTCATGAGGCCTATTAATATAATTGTGGGAAAATTTAACTATCAGACTTTCGCCACCTTATGCGGCCTAGGGGGACTGTAATTCTTATTTAAGATGTATGGATAGTTTTGCAAATCCACTTACTATTAATATACTGAGTTTAGTCATTTACAGTGGCAAAATACAAGTTCGCCATATAGGAAATCCTACTCTTATGTGTGGGGTGGGAGAGGTCTGGCCTTCCTTAAAATTAATGTCTACCCTATGATCCAGGTGTACTCGTGGCAATATGACGTAGTGGGTAGGTGTCAACATTATAAGAGGAAATGTCTAGGTTCGAGTCCCTCTGGGGTTACTGGTATTGAAACTGCGGGCCTTTCTGGATGCTACTACCTTTTGGGAAGCACCTTATGCAGATAATGGTGACTAAAAATCTTATAAAGTTTTAAGGAGGGCATCGAAATTCTACCCTCCTTGAATATAATTTTATTATTCTATAGAACCCTCAGACACTCGAATCTCTTTGATTTTGATGCTGAAGTCGCTGCGACTTCAATTTGAGATGCATGTTTAAGTCAACAACAGTACTAGGTCATACCACATATTCAAATTATCATGTTTAGAATCTCTAAAACTCCCTAATGCAAAGTATCATAGGTGTGGAGCTTGACACCAAATCGATTTTTAATAAGCCATCCCTTTTGTTAGTTACCCTATTCACCCTGACAATCAGGTTTTGCTTCGTAAATTCTGGCTATAGCTTACATGTTGTAATCAAAACGTAATCTTAGTTGGTGTGATTAAAATGAACTTTTGGTATACCTACAAGGTTTCGAAAGACATGAGAACGACAAAAAGCAGAATGACTTTAAGACACATCTCTGTAGGCTCATCCGCATAAGCAACAAGTGACGACAACTTCGATTCCCTGGTCGTAAATCACTCAAACTCGGATTTCCTAGTTATATTGAACCCAAATAGTCTAGCAATTTAGCTGGGGCGATTGACCAATTGAATATTCTGGCTCAAGATGGGTCAAAATAGATGACTCGAAATTTAGCTGACAACGCCATGGCCCGATTTCCGACTGTGAATGTACAGAATGAAAATGCGATTCTGTCTAAAACGTTGAAGGTTGGAGAAAAACAAACTATTCCTGAACAAAGTGGAAAATGAAAATTGTATCATTTTATCTCTGGCCCTGAATTATAGCCACATGCCGAAACTCACATCGGAGTGAATTAATAACAGCAAATCGTGGAGCAGGTGTGCCTTGATGTGCTTCAGTCGAGTTATGTCCAGCTGTTGCACACTGCCCACAAATTATACTACATTAAGACAATTTAATTAGCCAGCTTGATGCTCGCGACCATTGAAGGATTTGGTAGCATGGACTTGGGCAAGTTCAGGTAATTCGTAAGCAACGACGTTGTCTAGAGTGGTTTTTAATTTCAGCAATGTCATACAATAAAGTAAAAGTTAGATTTCAATGGGCGCCTAAATTAATCCCTTATGTATGCCTGCGTAAATAGACCCTATATCAGTTCATGCTCTTCCATTTTCTCTAACTTCTCCTCCTTCTCCTCCTTCTCTTCCTCCTCCTTCTCCTCCTTCTCCTTCTCCTCCTTCTCCTTCTCCTCCTCCTCCTTCTCCTCCTCCTCCTTCTCCTCCTTCTCCTCCTTCTCCT